CTGAGAAAAGTTTTGTCCTTTCCAGGTAACATGTTATCATTCTGGAGTTCATTAAGAAGGTTACGATTTTCGGAAGTATGCGTCTTCCAGACAGAAAACAGTTCTGCTATTTAGTGCGCTTCACAAAGGCGTGATTCAAACGGAATATGCAAGCCTTCTTCGTGTCCTTCCTTATTTACAGAATGTCCATTGTCTGGTGGTAGAATAACACAGGCAGAAAGCGATATGGGGGCTTACTAATGAAGTTACAAATTGTGCTGCTGTGTCTGAAGTTTATTGTGTCTCCTAAACAAATAATGCCTTTTGCTTTTGCTGCCGGAAGTTTATTATTTTCTCTGTGGACAGAAAAATATTGTAATGCTCTGAGGCCACAGCATCTAGGAAAAGTCATTGAAATACAGTGTGTGAAATCAAGATCTCAGGCAGGTCTTTTTCAGGACAGAAGAAGGACAGATTAGGAAAGTCTGTTATCATTTTACCATCTGGCATTAAAAGCATCTTCCTCAGTATCAATTAACTGTGTTGTGCTCTGTGAGGATGGTGTAACTCAGCAGCATGCCCTTATCAGTTTATTTCATGCTTCATTTCTTTCACAGCCTGGTTTCCTGAGCGGCTTTGGAAGATTATTCACTGAATAGTTTTCGTCATGCTTTTTAGTATTCATGCTGGTTCAGAAATACTCAGAAAGTGTGTGGGGGGAAGCTTTCCTTTTGTTCTAATTGATTTTCTTTGCTTAGAAGGAACATGCTGATACTCCAGACTGAAATAATCCAGGATCAGTTCGCTTTCATTTTTGAAGGCAAGAATGGAGGTATTAAAACTTTTCTATTTTCTCTGCAGCAAGCTCAGCCCAACACAGACTGGCGCTTCTCTCAGACCCAGAGACCTGGAACGAGTGGGTAAGTGCCTCTTTCTCCATGTATGTATCCGGTGAAGGTTTCTTTCCTTTGTGTGCCACTTTCAGTGCTGGGAAGTCCTCAGCTGGCAGCTCTGAGGACAGGTGTTCCCTGTCATTGCTAAAACTTGTTCAGCCAAAGAGGCAGACATAGGGCTGTTTCTGTGTCAGCTCTGTTTGATGATGGTGTGACAGCTGTTGTTTGCAATCGTGTGCCTGGTGTTGGTGTCTACAGCTCAAGGAGTACAGTCAGGAACTGGGGAGAGCTCCAGGTGAACTTGTGAGATTGTTAAAGGACTGGAAAACATTCTTCCCAGAGAAAGGCTTCTTCTCTAAATCAGATTTTGAACATTTAGACTAGATGCTGAGTTCAAAACCTTGATTCCTCCCCCTGCATGGAGGCCACTGGACATCAGTGTATGGGTCACTTTACCAGCCATGAACCCTCGAGCTCTGTGCTGCTGAAGTGCATTGCCTGCTCTGGCTTGAGAACCTAGTGTCAAACCCCTGTGTAAGCCCCTGTGACAGCCAGAAGTTGGGTGGAACCTCAGGTCACCAAAGGACCCCTCTAGAGAAACGTGTCCCAGCCACACCTAACTCAGCAAGAGCAGGTCCCTCATAAAATGCCGCTGTATGTACTAATCTGGCTGAATCAGGGTTGGGAGCCCTGGATCCAACTCCATTTGTTGGGGAGTTTCGGGCCTATCTTGCTTTTCTTGGGCAGTGCCATCTCCAACACTGGGTGGTTCATTCAGGTGAGGAACTCTCTGCACGCTTCCCACTGGAGCTGGACAATGGGACAGAGGGAGTCTAAGAAAGAAGAAATTAAACCTGATGAATCAGGAGACTCACAGAAAGGAGATCTACTAAGGTCTGGTCTTGCGCTCAAAACCATGGCTGAGTTTTTGCCAATTTACAAGTGATGCCAAAAAGATAAGAAGCCCTGGCAGGACGGCAGAGACCTGCCTCCCAAATGAGTACCCCTCTCTGGACTGTGCACCCTCTTGCCTCTGGCCCAGCAAAGTTTGCTTTTTGTGGTACACAGTGAAAAAGCATTGACAAGAAAATATCGAGCAGACGCCCTTCACCTCTTCCATCTTCCTTCCTGGTTCACAAACAGGGACAGGGATCCTCTTCAGAGGGTGAACTTCCTCACATACCATCAGGGTAAGAAAGACTTAGGCTGGGAGTCCACCTTCGTGTGTAGATACCCCAGCCAGAGGTTATTGTGTATCAGGAGACTGGCTCCAGGATATTTCATACATGAAAAGATTATCCCTTTTGGGGATTATACCCTTGGAGCAATCAGGAGTAAATTCGGATGCTGTGCTTCCTTGGCTGGCTGGGTCAGGCACTGCATTCCTGTGGGAAAGAGAGGAGCTCACAACCGTCATTGTGCTTTGTCACTCCTGGTGGCCACTCGGGCAGCTCCCGTGGAGGTTTAAATGATTCCACAGGGAGTGCAGGGTCCTGGATTTTGTGGTGGAGCTTGCAGTTAAACATCTGCATCAGCTGGTTGTGTCTGGATCTTTCCCTGGATTTGGCTCAATAATTTAGATTACAGAAAATTAAGAGACTGCTATAGCTAACTTGTTGCAGTAATTAAACTTTGTACTAGGCTCTTGTAGCTGACAAAGGGAAAATGGAGTGAGGGTTTGATGTAAAGTGTATAAAGCATTCCCACTAGAAACTAGCCATGGACTTTTAACAACAAGGCTATCACTGGAACAGTTTTCTCAGAGCTCTGTTGAATTCCACATCATTGACAACATTTTAATCAAGAAAAATCCAACTGTTTATGCTCTAGTTCAAATGACAATTAGCAAAGCCCTGTTAATAGAGAAATGCATCAGAGCTGCTGTAATAGTTTTGTTACAAGAAGCGAGTAAATGAACCCCATCAGAGCAAGCTCTGTTGCTCCCTGTTCTAGCATCATGCTGTAGCTCTTCAAGGCACAGAGCTGATGCAGTCCACACCTGCTCAACTCAGTGACAGGGACCTTTTTTCAGGTCGTAGGACAGTGAACCTCACTCCAGCCCCCAGGCTCTGTCTGAAGCTCTTTACAAGCTCCAGCCCCTTCCCAATGCTTAAGCAGGAGCCGCAGCATGAGGGGTGGGAAGAGAGACAGCAGGAGGAAAGGCACCCTCAGACTCATTTGGGGGGAGCAGATGTGGCACCATGTGCTGGTTCTGGTGCATGAGCTGTGATGTTACCCTGGATAGTCTGTGACTTGTGTCTCCACGGTAGTCCCTGAAACAGCCACCAGCGACTCAAATCAGTGGCTGTTGTGGCAAAGGTTCCCACAGCACAGGCTGCCCGGGCTGGCCTCTGGGTTTGGAGACGGGCTGTGTCTGAGCACAGGCTGGTACTGAAAGAACTCAATG